TGCGTACGCTACTGCATCGAATCCAAAATCTCAAATGCGTTGTTACTTCTGACATAATTATTCGAGCTGCTAATTTAAACTGTGCTTATGTTTCCATTATGTGGTATCCATTTTTTGACATCGTTTTGTGGTACAGCTAATAAAAAATGCTAAATAAAAATCTTATGTTTTTGTTTGATATTTATGTGTCAAGATTTAAAAAAAAAGTATTTTAACGCCCTTGTCCTTGACCCCGTCTACGGAAGCGCTGACCAATAGGGTCTCTGGAAGCATAGAGGTCACTCAAAAAAACAGCGGAAATATCTGGCCGTGACGTGGAGCCCTCAGCGTGTGCTCTGTTCCCTGACCCACTACACACCAGTTCAGCACGCGCCAAGAACGTGCGGCCCAACACGTCATCGTTAGACATGGACAACACACTCACAAAACACGGCAGCACGGCATCAACTGCAAAGCCATCTGGCACCGACTCTACCACCATAGCGTCCACTAATATGGTAGACACCACCACAACCCACACCACCACAACCCACACCACCACAACCCACACCACCACAACCCACACCACCACAACCCACATCAACACGACACCACCAACAATAGCACCAACCTCCCACATAGAGCAAGCATCTGCCAGTTCCTCTGAGCCCAATCTGCCACACCCCACTGACACACATACAGCACTTGTCAGTGACATAACCCACAACACATCCCCACATACACGTGAACAGGAAACAGATGGACCACAACACATCGAGACTCTCACAATTGACTGTTTTCATTCAGATAACGACCACGATGCCTAAACCACCACATTCTGAAATACCTTGTTACTTTTTACATAATTATTCGTGCTGCTAATTTAAATACCGGTTCATGTTTTATACACATTGTGATATTTTTTTCTGTAATGGAATGTCGATTCCGGTCATTGTAATAAGCAAAGTGTAAGGGTTTAAGTAAGGGTGTGGTTAAGCTTCGAGGAGGGGTGGGGGTGGCTAAGACGTATTGATCACGTGTTAACTATTATTTTGTGAGGATATCAAAGTAATGGACACCAGCGAGAAAAGTCTCAAAGGTATTTGAGAGGTCCATAAATTAATTTTAAAATCTTGCACGGCGTAGTTACAATTAATATGGTTATAAAATCCTGCCTGTCTGGTTTTTTTCGGACTTTACTAAATATTGGATGTATTTGATGTTTTTAATATTTTCGGTAACTAAATAAAAATTAAAAAAAAAAAAGCAAAAACAATTTGGTTTTCACGTGTAATGGCGACATAAACAATGACATCCTGCTATTGGATAGGCCGCCATAAATTTTATTCTACACATTGTAAGCTAAAAATAGAAAACTAGGTCAAGGGGTTTTAAATTTGCATTGTTATTTAAAAACTTGATCTGCAAAGTTTTGTAAACAAATAGTTATCGATCACTAAGTTACTGTACAGCCAATCAATATTTGTCTTACGAAAGTGAAACATCGGGTTATAACTTAGGCTTGATGCAAATAAATAGAAATGTAGCCTTAAACTCAACCAATTATTTTCAAGTTCTCTGGATTTGCAACTTTTATAGCATTTATTCTAAAAATATAAAATTTCTAAATTAATTTTAGGCTTAAGTTTTTTTTTTTTTTTTTTTTTTTACGATCTAAATCTAAAAAGCACGTTTTTATTTCATGTCAACAACATTATGGAAGGAATCTCGTCAACTCGCTGGTGTCCATTAATGCAATTTTTGGACAAGCAGCAATATTTCCTTGTCATTCATTAGGAAAGGCACACATTTTAAAAACCTTCTTGTATTTCTTACTCCGATGTTTCTTTCTCTTATTTCAAGTTGTTTCCCTTGGCGATGGGAGTTAACCTATCAGTTTCTCTACACACATATCTTGTAAAATAGTTACTGAATCCACATAACAATAAAACATCTTTACTAAGAAAAATAATGCATTTTTTTTGTTTTAGTAACATAGTAACATATTTGTGATAAAAACGTTTGTAAAATTAAGATAAACAATATTTATTTTGCATCTGAGGAAAAACAAACAAATTGGATGTTGAAGTAAGTTCTTTCCCATTATTCATCTTAATATTATTCCAAATGCTGCTCCAGTAATCATTTTGTTTATATTCATATCTTAAGTGGGTAGGGAAAGAAAATCTTTGCATATATATATATATATATATATATATATATATATATATATATATATATATATATATATATATATATATATATAAATCATAGAGAAAGCACTAGGTAATTTTTGGTTCGATTTTGGTGACATCATTATTGGTGTGAGAAGGGAGGGGGTGGCATGATGTGTTTACACACATTTATTGCATCACTTCAGTTTTAAATAATTGTTATAGTGATATATTTCGTTTTATTTGTTCAAACTGCTATTTCCGTAATTCTTTAACTCTCCCTGAGCTGTTATTGTTGTTTTTTCATGCACACATTTATAATGTTTCCATGTCGTAAAAATTTATTAAACTTGCCTACACAATTTTATTAATAAACTGAATCGTTTTGACCCATTGCATTCCATGTAATCGTAAGCATACAATATTGATAAAGATAAAAATACCATCATAAAATTAATAACTATTTTTTTATCAGTTTTGTTGTATTTATTGTCAAAGATCTTGGGTCGAAACCTCGTTCATGTTAAAATGTTTAATACTATTCGTACCACTTATAACTTGTTTCAGATTATTGTTAACACAATGATTATGACAAAAAGAATGATTGTTGCAGGATAACTTCAACTGATTGTTGTGTAATCAATCACTTTTAAAATTAGACGAAAGAAATTAGTTGAATCTGATTCCTCCAAACAATTATTTTGGTAAGAAATAAGTTTAAAATTTTTTATTTTTCTTGCAAGCTTCTGGTCTGTTTATTGAAATAAATTCCATGTTCCTTTAAATATAATCTAGCGTCAAATCTTCGGGGAAGAAGGGAAGTCACTACACTAACCCCATTTACACCCCATTCTATTAAACATCTGCTATGTAGAGCTTTTTTTATTCAATTTGTCTCTACATTGCAACACTTTATTACAAAATAAAATATTTTTTAATGTTATAAAACAAAACATGTGTTCGTTTTTATAATTTTGTGATTTATTTATCATGTAATATATTTTATGTAGGTAATGCTAGGTAAAAAGCCAAATGAGAATTCTTATGGTATGTAGGATATCATTCATAGATGTCAACATTGTGATGAGATAGAATTGAAGTATGGTGCGATAGAGATGAAGTATGGTGAGATAGAGATGAAGTATGGTGAGATAGAGATGGAGTATATTATATTAAGTACATGACACAAGTATAAAATACCAAGTATGTGACTCGACTATAATTTACCAATTACATGACACAAGTATAAAATGTCCAGTACATGACACAAGTATAAAATAGCAAGTATATGACACAAGTATAAAACACCAAGTACATGACACAAGTATAAAATAGCAAGTATATGACACAAGTATAAAATACCATGTACATGACACAAGTATACAATGTCTAATACATGACGCAAGTATAAAATACCAAGTATATGACACAAGTATAAAATGGTAAGTATATGACACAAGTATAAAATACCAAGTACATGACACAAGTATAAAATGTCCAGTACATGACACAAGTATAAAATACCAAGTATATGACACAAGTATAAAATACCAAGTATATGACACAAGTATAAAATGAAAAGCACACTCTAATCGGTGTGCTTTTAGCTGAGTCACTGTTTTTTCTTTCTCTTATACAGAGTATAGAGGAAGTATTGTAATCGTGCACAAAAATCACATGAAATTTTTAGTTTTCATCGTTTTACAACTCAGTAGGCTACATCATAAACGGAGTATAGGGGACTTATTTTAATCGGGCAAAAATTATAAAATGCAGATTTATCAAAAATTTTGCGTTTTATGTGTAATCGAGTTGAAAAACTGGGCTTTGCAATTCTGGCCGTAAATCTGTGTGTGTGTCTGTAAACACGTTGATGAATATTCATATACAAGTATTCTTATGAACTGTAGTTCTGCATCAACTTTTCAGCGATTTCTGGTAATCGAAAGTGGAACTTATTCTACTTTTGGTTTTTTAAAAGCCTATAGCTTCACTACTATTTCAGATAGATAAACGAAACTTAAAAAATAAGTAAAAGATCTAATTCTCTGCCTTCTGTCAAATTATGAGTAATTTCCGTTGACCGGAAGTACTAATTTACACTTTTTTCAATTTATAAAAAACGCATGTGAATTTATAAAGTACTAATAATATTCCAAACTATTATACATAGCTTGTTTGGCATTCACTTGGTGCGCAAATATTTTTTCTACGAGATTCTCTTCTATTTTAAAAAGTTTAAGTAATTAAAAGTGGATTAAAAATCATGTTTATATCCCGAATTGCCATCCCCCGTAGTGTTATATAGAATATTCGAGAAAGTTTAGGGGGGGGGGGGATCACTCCCGCTGTATTTGCTTTAAATTTATTCAATCAAATCCCGTTCTTCTTAACATTTTTGCCGAAAATGTATGTTTTTTGTTCTTGCGTGCACTGAATTAGATCGACATTTAATTCTTATATATCGAACTGTCCTTGAAATTTCTCAGTTTTACCTAGAAATACCATGAATTGTTTGGAGAAAGTAATGAACACTTTTTTTAGCAAGTATTAAAAAAAAAATGCTAATATTTCTACATATTTGTTGCGTTACCGTGTCTTTAAAAACGTAAACAAAAACCATTTCTGTGACCTCAACAAAAGTATAATTTCTGCGCATACAGCATGATCCTCAACATTAGAATACGATTTTATGTTTGAAATCTTGGTTTATACGCAGTGGCGTAGCTAGGAGTTTGGGGCCCCTAGGCAAAAATTATAATCTGTAAATTGTGTATTTTATACGTCCTAATTGTATATTTATACGGTATTATTATGTAGTACCTCGTAACGTAAAATATTTTTGATTTTATATCACTTTTTGTGTAAAAATAAACTAATTAACTGTAAGCCTGCAACATTTAAGTAACCTAACACAGTGCGGTCACAGGGCAGGGGCCTCACAATTTAGGTTTGATACCATGAGGAAAACTGTCAAAACTACGTTTTATTCAGTTAACATAGTAATATATTAAGAAGAGGAGGTAACACTCCACCGGAAATCAAAATTGTTGGACGGGGTGATATCGAACCCTGTGACGCCACTAACCAAATACAAATTTTAAAAAGTTGCTCGTGATTTATTTAGATTTGTTTTTTCTTTTCTTATATGTTTGCAAAGTGATTAATATGTTCCTTGATGTTCATTTTAATTGCTTCTGTATGTTCAATTTTTAGGATGGCCAAGTTACTGGCCCAAACGGCATATTTACAACTTGTTTCATAACATATTCATAATGGAGAGACTCGGGGAGCCTAATCGTATACTACTGCCGAGGCGGCTGAATGACACCCCTTATTTTCTTTCTCCGTATCCCTAGGGCATGGCGCTCATTAAAACAAGTGTATGCGCCGCAGTGCTCACGAGGGGATACACCTGTGCAGTTTGACCTTTGAATTTGGAAGTAATCCTGACTCATTGTGCAGGACACTCCAATAACTGACCCTAGGCACTAACAAAGCTTTTGGGAAAATCTGGGTGGCAAACCGAACCGCCGTACTGTCAAAGAAACGCTATCCGAACGTAATTGCTTTCTGGCCTCTCTTCGAGAGGAAGGCACTGCTCCTCATGTGTGGGGTTGTGGTAGGAAATTTCACTGTCAGTAGAGGTTTGTCTGAATTATTCTAAACGACTTCCAAATGTTTCTTGGCGATTGGATCATTTTTGCATAAAGGACAAGGAGACAGACAAACAAATATCTTTAAGTAGCGGCACATTGATTAAAAATAATTAGATCAATAAACAAATTGTGATTAAGGTTAAAACTAGAAAAACAATTACACATGTTCGACGTAGCTTGTTGTGAATGGATGGAATTTCGGTGAGGATAGATAGTTGAGAGGGGAGGGGGGTGCAGGTTTGTGGGGCGGTGGGGGTAGAGATTTTTTAGCGATGCGTATAAATTTGCGGGTGCCGCATGACATTCTCATAAAAGAGTCAATGTTCAAGTTTATTTATAGGCTAATTATCAACGGCTTGCCCGATAATGCAACAATGCCTATAGTGTTATTAATACCGACGGGCCTTGTACACCCCCCCCCCCCAGTTACAAAGGTCTGGGGTCCTTTTTTGGAACTTTTGATTGCTTCTACAGTAGAAAAAAAACTGGATTTCCGTTTTCTTTTTAAAATTATTTTTGTAATACAAATATTAAAATTCCAACATAAAAGTTTAAAAAAAATTACAGAGGGAAAAGGGCCCCTATTTGCCCTGGGCCCCTATGCCTTGCTTACGCTAGCTTTTTGGTCGCTACGCCACTGTTTATACGTCGAACAGACGTTGGTAAGAAAGAAATCAACATTGAGGCAAGTATCAAACTTCGTGAACAGGAGAGTTGCAAAGTTATCATATAGAGACCCAAAAAATCACTTTCATTTATCAACTTTACTATCCAAAATGGATACATGAGTATTGCAGAAGTTAAGGTGACTGCTAAAATGTTAACACTTTCTTTTTTAGGGTCGTCATCGAATGCGGAGATGTTCGAATCTGTTTGCGGTAAAAGCGGAGTTAGGGGGCTGGTTGTTTCTTCAGCTTCAGTTTCCTCTTGTGGGCTCACCATTACGTGATATGGAGGCGGGTTGTTCAGTGGTTCGACATGATCACTTGGGTTCGAACCCACGACGTTCTGTGGAAGACCCAGGTCATCTTCACGATGTCTTAAGGTTGATGATGAAGCTTCAGGAGATGTTATGGAGTTTTCTAAAAGTAATCTTGAACTATCAATTTCCGCTACTGAAAACGTAGTTCCTGAAAGCGATATTTGCTCTTCAATATCTACGTTTGAAGAACCAGAATTAATGGAACCAAGATTTCTAGGAAAATCCTTGTTGACTCCTTGACTGGCCAAACTTACAGAGCCAGATTCTCCAGGCTGTTGGATTCTTGCACTAGCTAAACGTGTAGCAGCAAATCTACTTCTCATTACACGTGAACAGGTTAAGTGACAGCTGAAGAAAAGAGCCAATGTGTTGAGAACAAGGTTGAAGACGGAAACCCAGGTATCATACAGGTAGTAGAATTCTGGTAAAGATTGCAAACTGTACTGCGAAAGAACCAGAACGAGAGCAAGACACCCGGGTGCGAAGAAGCACCCATAAGCTACGGCCGCAAGAGTTATTATCCGGAATCTCCGTAAGTACGGCCTGAGAATCATCTCCACATTCAAGCCAATCAGACCCGTAGCGTACAAAATCGCCGTGATTGGCGAAACATCGTCGATGTACATGTGTAACGAATCAAACTGTTTACAGATCGCCACGATGAACATACCAATGTAATGCATCGAGTTAAACAGCTCAGACACCCACAGTGTGAGCCACAGTGACGTCTTGATGATGTTCTTTGTCTGGTTTGATCCTTGAGACCATCTTATAACAACCATAACAGGGAGGACAACGGCGTTTAATGTCACACAAGCTATGGTCGTGATTGCAAGACCAGCTGATAATATATCATACCACGGGATCTCGATGGCCATGTTTCCAAGACCAGTTAATCTTTTGTTTTGTTCTAACAGCTGAAGCTGCAAGAAAAAACAAATTATTTTAAACCTTCTTTAAACAGAACCAAAAATATTTTTTAAACTTATTTTTAAATCAAAGAACACTCGAAGGGAAGGATAAAAAAAAACATGACAGTTTGTTATTTCTGTTATGTCTTCAAATTTTCATCATCACCATCGTTTTACGTTCGTGCCTATCATACACAGTGAAGTAGAGTTCATCTGTTTCAGTGACCTTGACATATGAAGGGATAGTGTGGTCAGCACTATGCCCAGCCGTCATTTTTCCCTAACATGAATTAGGTACCTATATGAGCTGGGTGGACTCAGGGACGTTCTACTGACTTGGACCAAGATTCAATCTCGAGACTTTGGTGTTAACGGTTTAGCCATACCGTCTCATCTTTAAACTTTGCTAACTCATTAAGCATAAACGCCCTTCTCATTATTATTGCACATATTTATTATGGAATATAGTTAGAGACGTCAACGGACATTTCACGTGTAAGCTAATGTACTCAACAATGGAGAAAAGTTCGATTTTTCATTTTAGAAAGTTTTTAGTAATTTATTGAAATAATTAATTATATTGTTGTGGTGTTTTTAAAAGCATGAAATTATAGTGATGATTTGAGGTACAGTGAAAAGAAAGGTACATAAAAGCGACAATAGGGGGTCGGCGTGGTCGAGTCGGTAAAGCTCATGGTTGCTAAACCGAAACGTCTCGTGTTAGCTCGCTAGCTGGGGACAGCCACTCTTCTAGGAGAAAAAACTTTAAAACCAATCAACTGCTGCCTTGTAGTTTGTTCTTGGTTGGACAAAGGCTATGGAGACAATTGCCTCAATGGTGCATAAGTAGTTGACACGTATACGTAATTGCGATGGAGATGGGTCGAGTCAGCAAAGCTCATAGTTGTTAAAAATCCGAAAAAAGTCTCGACTTCGAACACTCTGGCAGATAAGGCTCGGACCCTTCTAACACTAAACATTAAGAACGAAGAAGAAGAGCAGAAATAACCTCTTGTCCTTATTTTACATTTATTTACTTGTACGATTAAAAGGCACAGCATGCAAAACATATTTTAGCAACCACAAACGCTACTAGTGACAAAAAACAAACAAATTAAAACAATTATAAAATGTTACTGCACTTTTAACTTAATGCATTAACATCTGAGCGTGTAGCTGTTGTCTTTTTATATCTTTAAACACATATAGACAATAGAAGTGAGTGTATGATGTATTGAAATAACTATTAATAATGACCACTTAGTAAAACAGAAAAAAAACTAATTTGGTTTACTTTTTAAACGGCTAGGTAAAATTCAGGGAATACAAATTAAAGCTAAAGTAATATATTACAAAATTGAATGTGTTACACAGTAAATGTGAACTTACCTGGTACTCAGTATATGCCAAGCTATCGGTACACAGGTATGTGTATTACGTTTCTCTGTAACACATCAACAACCCAACACACCTGTCTAAGGTTAAGCCGTCTGGCATGTTTTATTCACATGTATGTGTTGGAGTTTTCAACCAGGAAGTTTAGTCATGCTTCAGTGACTTTAAGATGTTATGTATCTCTTACAGCGTATTGTGGGTTGATGTTGGATAGGTATCTTAGTCTCTGGTTTACTTGGTGAGGTAACTTAGTCTCTGAGTTACTTGGTGAGGTAACTAAGTCTCTGGGTTATTTGGTGAGGTAACTTAGTCTCTGGTTTACTTGGTGAGGTAACTTAGTCTTTCGGGGTATTTGGTGAGGTAACCTAGCTTTGGGTTACTTGTAGAAGTAACGTAGGTTTTGGTTTACTTGGTGAGGTAACTTAGTCTCTGGTTTACTTGGCGAGGTAACTTAGTCTCTGGTTTATTTGCTGAGGTAACTTAGTCTCTGGGTTACTTGGCGAGGTAAATTTACCTGTGGTTTACTCGGTGAGGTAACTTACTCTCTAGGTTACTTGGCGAAGTAACTTAGTCTCTGGTTGACCTGACAAGGTAACTTAGTCTGTGGGTTACTTGGTTAGGTAACTATTGAAGTCCCGACAGGCATATTGTCAGGTTACATTTGGTGTGTGAGCTTTATATATATATATATATATATATATATATATATATATATATATATATATATATATATATATATATATATATATATATATAATGATACAAACAGGTTTATCATGTTTGCATATATCTCATGATTCTCTGTATAAAAGCATGATTTTGTATTGGAACCTGCTGGTCACAGGGCAACCCAGGTAACTCAGTCACTGGTGTACTTGCCAAGGTAACTTAGTACCTGGGTTACTTGTAATATTGTCGTGGCAACAAACGAACCTCAAAACTCCAGAGATTTTGGAATTGACTGTTTTCATTCAAATAACGACCACGATGCCTAGACCATTGAATCCAAAATCTCAAATGCGTTGTTACTTCTGAAATAATTATTCGAGCTGCTAATTTAAACTGTGCTTATGTTTCCATTATGAGGTATCCCTTTTTGACATCGTTTTGTGGTACAGCTAATAAAAAAGGCTAAATAAAAATCTTATGTTTTTGTTTTATATTTATGTGTCAAGATTTTAAAAAAAAAATGTATTTTAACGCCCTTGTCCTTGACCCCGTCTACGGAAGCGCTGACCAATAGGGTCTCTGGAAGCATAGAGGTCACTCAAAAAAACAGCGGAAATATCTGGCCACGATGTTGAGCCCTCAGCGTGTGCTCTGTTCCCTGACCCACTACACACCAGTTCAGCACGCGCCAAGATCGTGCGGCCCAACACGTCATCGTTAGACATGGACAACACACACACAACACACGGCAGCACGGCGTCAACTGCAAAGCCATCTGGCACCGACTGTACCACCAAAGCGTCCACTTATATGGTAGATACCACCTCAGGGCCTACCACCGCAGCCCACACCACCGCAGCCCACACCACCACAACCCACACCACCACAACCCACACCAAAACGGCACCACCAACAATAGCACCAACCTCCCACACAGAGCCAGCATCTGCCAGTTCCTCTGAGCCCGATCTGCCACACCCCACTGACACACATACAGCACTTGTCAGTGACATAACCCACAACACATCCCCACATACACGTGAACAGGAAACAGATGAACCACAAAACTTCGAGACTCTCACAATTGACTGTTTTCATTCAGATAACGACCACGATGCCTAAACCACCACATTCTGAAATACCTTGTTACTTTTGACATAATTATTCGTGCTGCTAATTTAAATACCGGTTCATGTTTTATACACAATGTTATTTTTTTTCCTGTAATGGAATGTCGATTCCGGTCATTGTAATGAGCAAAGTGTAAGGGTTTAAGTAAGGGTGTGGTTAAGCTTCGAGGAGGGGTGGGGGTGGCTAAGACGTATTTATCACGTGTTAACTATAAATTTGTGAGGGTATCAAAGTAATTGATGCAAATTTGGACAAGCAGCAATTTTCCTTGACATTCATTAGGAAAGGCACACATTTTAAAAACCCATTTGTATTTCCTACCCTGATGTTATTTCTCTTATTTCAAGTTGTTTCCCTTGTTGATGGGAGTTGACTCATCAGTTTCTCTACACAAATCTTGTAAAATAGTTATTTGATCCACATAACAATAAAACATCTTTACTAAGAAAAATAATGCATTTTTTGTTTTAGTAACATATTTGTGATAAAAACGTTTGTAAAATTAAGATAAACAATATTTATTTTACATCTGAGGAAAAACAAACACATTGGATGTTGCAGTAAATTCTCTACCATTATTCATCTTAATCTTATTCTAACTGTTGCTACAGTAATCATTTTGTTTATATTCATATTTTAAGTGGGTAAGGAAAGACAAACTTTGCAAATATACATATAAATCATAGGATTAGATAAATCGCTGGGTAATTTTCGGTTCGATTTTGGTGACGTCATTATTGGTGGGGGGGGGGGGGGGAGGGGGGGGCTTTTTGTCATGATGTGTTTACATCACTTCAGTTTAAATAATTGTTATAGAGATACATTGCTTTTTGTTTGTTGAAACTGCTGTTTCTGTAATTCTTTAACTGTCCTTTAATCTTTTTATCATGCACACATTTTTCATGCTTCAATGTCGTAAAATTTCATTAAACTTGCCAACAAAATTTATTAAAATTGAATCATCTTGATCCGATGCTTTTCATGTAATCGTAAGCATAAAATATGGATAAAGATAAAAATACAATCATCAAATCACTAAATATTTTTATCATTTTTTTGTATTTATTGATAAAGATCATGATAAAAATCGAAACCTCGTTCATGTTAAAAAGTTTTATACTATTCGTACCACTTATAACTTGTTTCAAATTATTGTTAATAAAACAATAATTATGACAAAAAGTATGATTGTTGCAGGATAACTTCAACTGGTTGTTGTGTAATCAATCAATTTTAAAATTAGAGGAAAGAAATTAGTTGGATCTCATTCCTCCAAAAAAAATTTTTTGGTAAGAAATTAGTTTAAAATATTTGATTTCTCTTGCAGGCTTCTGGTCTGTTTATTGAAATAAATTCCATGTTCCTTTAAATATAATCTAGCGTCAAATCCTCGGTGAAGAAGGGAAGTCACTACACTAACCCCATTTACACCCCATTCTATTAAACATCTGCTATGTAGAGCTTTTTTTATTCAATATGTCTCTACATTGTAACACTTTATTAAAAAATAAAATATTTTTTAATGTTATAAAAGAAAAGATGTGTTAGTTATTATAATTTTGTGATTTATTTATCATGTAATATATTTTATGTAGCTAATGCTAGGTAAAAAGCCGAATGATAATTCTTATGGTATGTAGGGTATCATTCATGGATGTCAACATTGTGGTGAGATAGAGATGAACTGTGGTGAGATAGAGATAAAGTATGGTGAGATGGAGATCAAGATTGGTGAGATAGAGATGACGTAGGGTGAGATATAGATGAAGTGTGGTGAGATAGAAGTGAAGTGTGGTGAGATAGAGATGGAGTATGGTGAGATGGAGATAAAGTATGATGAGATAGAATTGAAGTATGGTGAGATAGAGATGAAGTATAGTGAGATAGAGATTGAGTATGGTGAAATAGAGACGAAGTATAAACAGTGTTTCTGATGCATGGAAGAAACTCTGAGTATAAAATACCAAGTACATGACACAAGTATAAAATGCCGAGTACACGATACAAGTATAAAATGTCCAGTACATGACACAAGTATAAAATACCAAATACATGACACATATTGTTTGTTGTTCACTTGGTGGGTTTTTCTTTTTGCTACGAGTCTATTCTATTTTTAAAAAGTTTAAGTTGTTAAAAATGAATTAAAAATCATGTCTATATCCTGAGCTGCCATCCCCCGTGCGGTGCGCTGAGTCAGGTGGGCTGGGTCTTATGGTTTGGCTAGTAGATGCAACTCATCCTATGAGTAAAAACCCCAGTTTCCCTTCAAGGAAACTTTGCACCAATTAAGCGAATGTTTCATTAAAATGTCTTAATTGCACCTGGAAATATATAGGGTTGCTTAAGTTAGAGTTCCTACCAATATGTTTCCGTCACGGAAAAAAATGTCGAATTTTAAGGTGGTCATTTATATCCAGGTTGAGCTAGTGTTTTAAAATATATTACACATAAAGGATATACACAGTATTATTTGCTGATATACAATTATGTTATACATGTATTGTGTAAGGGAATGGGCGCTTTTCCTATTGAAGTCCCGACAGGCAAATTGTCAGGTTACATTTGGTGCTTGAGATTTATATATATAACGATATAAACAGGTTTATCATGTTTGCAGATATCTCATGATTCTCTGTATTAAAACATGATTTTGTATTGGAACCTTCCGGTCACAGGGCAAGCCATTGCTGGTAAAAACAAGATCAAGATTACGACAAGCACCAAACTCCGCGCACAAGGTAACACAATAGCTAAAAAATAACAAACACCGCACCAGTCCCTTACAAAATAAAATGCCCATGCAGGAAACATAAAATAAGCCGACATTAAAGTCAAAATAAAAATTTTAACACTTTCGGTTTTGGGGTTGGTATCCAATGCGGAGTGGGGTAAGTCTGTTTGCGGTAAAAGCGGAGTTTGTGGGCTGGTTGTTTCTTCAGCTGCAGTTTCCTCTTGTGGGCTCACCATCACCTGTGCAGGCGAGCTGTTGCGGTGCTCTAAATCATCACGTGTCGTAGGGTCATTCTCAGTGGGGTTTGAACCTGTAGCTTTATGTGCATGGTCCTCAGGTGTATCTTCACGACGCGGTAACGTCGATACAGTTTCAGGAAACTTAGGATTTCCTTGAAGTACGCTAGAATTGTCGACCGTGGCTCTATGAGAATCAGCCCCTGGAGCCAATCTCTGCTCTGGGTATTCTGTGTTAGTATAGCCAGAATTAACAGAACCGTGATCTGTAGGTAAAGCCAAGGTGAGCCTAGCATTAGCCT